CATTCTAAAAAAAATAATATATAACAAATGAAGAAATATTATAAGCAAACAGGAGAATATTTATCATCTATTATTTTCTCACTTTAATGTAATTATGCTCTATGCAAATGCGCTGGGTTGAGTTGATACATATACTATAGCAGAGAGAAACCTGAGAGCGGCCACGCCATACGTTTTGGCTGACACCGATTTTTACGCTGTTCGATGCGCCATTTGCACCCATTTTTTAGGTGGAACTACGTTTCCTACGCCCATTTTCAAACGCTGCTGGTAAAGTATCGATTTGTTGCGTGTCCATTCTATGCCCATTTTCTGGCAATTCATGTCCGTGTTAAGCGCATAATTGCGTGATTGAAAACATGGACTGTCCATGTTCTTAACCATGCAATTATGCGCTTAACACGGACATGAATTGCCAGAAAATGGGCATAGAATGGACACGCAACAAATTGACACTTTACCGGCAGCGTCTGAAAAAGGGCGTAGGGAACGTAGTTCCACCTAAAAAAATGGGTGCAGATGGCGCATCGAACAGCGTGAAAATCGGTATCGGCCAAAACGTATGGCGTGGTCGCTCTCAGGTTTCTCTCTGACTATAGTGGGTGTTTACGATAATTATGGCTCCTGTACATAGGACACGGTAATGTTTGCCGCGCGGCGGAAGTCCGCACGACAGCCAATCAATATGTTGTTTTTCCGTAAGAGCTAGAAGATTATTACGGAAAGCAGCATATTGATTGGCTGTCGCGCGAACTTCCGCCGCGCGGCAAGCATTATCGCGTTCTGTGTGCAGGAGTCATTAGAGTTAGTTCCACTAGGGCCGAAAATTATAATAGGCACGACCATCTAGTACTTTTGTAGTTTATGACAATTTCTTCTAACTCATGGGTGTTTACGTTAAATCGAGTACGAGTTAGTTCCACTAAGGTCGAAAAATGTAATTTCGGCGATGCAATATATTCAATTAATACGATACGTGTTTCTAATCAATATTGCACTACTTCAATATGACGTTGTTTATATACATCGCCGAAATAAAAATAATTCAACATAAAATTACTAATTGGTAATAATTAATTAGTATATTACTAATTGTACGCGTATTAAACGTTCAGTATAAACATACTATATGAGATTAAACTTATTAATAACTAACATTTTTTGAAAATCTACCTGATGCTCACGTTATCCGCTATGCTACTCTAACTAACTGTAACTAACTCTACTCGAGCATCGGAAAGCAGTACTGAGTTATCTTGAATCATGAAGATACTAGATGGTTGTGCCTATTACATTTTTCGACCCTAGTGGAACTAACTCGTACTCGATTTATCGTAAACATCCATTGGGTGTTTACGATAATTCAAGTTGGAGTTAGTATGAGTTAGTTTCACTAGGGTCGAAAAATATAATAGGCACAAGCATCTAGTATTTTCATGATTTATGAGAACTCAATGCTGTCCGATAAATCAAGTAGAGTAGAGTTAGGGTAGTATAGCGTATAGTTATATATGCAGAATAATCGAAGCATATTTAACCGACCGTTATGTGGAGTACCCTGGCTGTGGCTGGGGGTGGAGTTAAACGCCGTGCTGTCTCTGCAGGGGTCCCGCAGAGCTCGGTTTTGGGCCCCTTGCTTTGGAATTTGGCGTATGACGCGGTCCTCGGGGTAAGGACCTTTGATGGATGCCACATAGTTGGGTATGCTGATGATACCCTGGTTGTCGCTACGGCCAATACCGTCGAGGATGCCGTGGTTAGGGCGAACCTACAAACAGCTATGGTGGTCCGTAGGATTAAGCAGCTGGGCCTCACGGTTGCTGCGGACAAGACGGAGGCGGTATTGTTCCATGGTCGCAGAAGGCAAGAACATCTGCCCGAAATCAGGATTGGGCACACATACATCCGTGTCGGTAGATCGATGAGATATCTTGGGATTATCCTTGACAGCAGATGGAGGTTCCATGTTCACTTCAGTTATGCGGCAGACAAAGCAACGAAGGTGGCTAAGGCGTTGGGACGACTTATGCCCAATCTCCGGGGACCTAGCGAGGGGAGGAGGAGACTGTACACGACAGTGGTTTTGTCGGTCATGCTCTATGGTGCGCTGGTATGGTGCGATGCCATGAGACCGACTACCTTTTTGGCTCTTAGGGGACAGGCGCCCATTCTCAGGGTGCAGCGGTTTGTGGCCATGAGAGTCATAGCCGCGTACAGATCTGTGTCTCTTGAGGTCGCAAGCTTGTTAGCACGAATACTTTTTCTTTACCTGCTTGTGGCCTATTGCAGCAGGACGTACGTGAGGGTCAGGGAACTCAAGGCGTCCGGCACGTGGACACCCGAGAAGGAGGAGGAGGTCAAGGAAGGAAAGAGGCTTCTACTTTTTCGGCAGTGGAAGATTCATCTCCAAAAGAGAGGTCTATCCGGTGCGCGTGCTAGAGATGCTATCATCCCTAACTTTTGGTCGTGGACTGATCGGCAGGGAGAGAGGGGTGTGAACTTCCACATGACCCAGCTCCTAATCGAGCACGGTTGCTTTCGCGAGTACCTGTGTCGTATTGGGAAAGACGTGACGAGTGTGTGTGCGCACTGTAACGCCGGATCAGACAGTGCTCAACATACACTGGAAGTGTGTAGTGCGTGGTGTCGAGAGAGACTGGACCTTCGGTCGGTTGTGGGGCAAGACTTATCTCTCCCTGCCCTGGTGCGCGCTATGTTATCATCAGAGGATGGGTGGACTGCTGCCTTGAGGTTCGCAGGTGCAGTCATGAGGAGGAAGGAGTCTGCAGAGAAAGAGAGACAGAGCAACCCTCGAGTTAGTGCGTTACCTCCTGGATCTCCGCCTAGGGATGACTCTTCTCCCTATTGAGTTGGTCTAGGAGAGAGTTGCCCAAGTCTTGGGTCTTGGAGCAGCATTGGGTGCGACACATGTGCGATGCTTGTGTCGTCGTCCCCCTTTACGGCATATGCGGTACACTGCTTGTTGGCATTGTACCTCTTGCTGGTGGGAGTGCCTTGCCTTGCACTTCTGATTTGTCGGTCGTCGTGGAGGAATGGTATTTATGGGCTGGGAGTTCCAACTCTGAAGCGACACTCGATATTGGGGATAGGGCAGCAAGGAGATGTAGTGTGGCCCCTTGCTGCTGATTAGTTAGGGTTTGCGTTTAATTTGCGTGTGCTGGGGGGCATCCTGAATGGCATGCGTTAGCGGTTCTCGGGATGTCCCTGGGTTACGGCAAAGGTTGGACACTCGAGGAGGTTTTAGTCGGTGTGAGTCCGACATAACCCCGGCCTTATCCCAGTAAGGTCCGGGTATGCATAATGCATTTCCTCCCCGTCAAAAAAAAAAAAAAAAAAGTATAGCGTATAGTATATGTATAAGAATTAATAATATCAGATCACATAGTTTCGTAAAATATTTAACAATAATATTACGAAACAATGATTTATTATATTTTAGAAAAATCTGAAGCACTAAATTAAAGTATGAAATTGTATCATGTATTTGTGAAATATTCAATAATAATAGGTTAATAATAGGTTAGAAGAATTGTTTTCTACTTTTGAATATTTTACAAATACATGATACCTTTTCATAATTTAATTTAGTGCTTCTAATTTTTCTAAAACAACTCATGTAACAACTCATTGTTTCGTAATATTATTGTTATATATTTTACGAAACTATGTTATCTGATACTGTTAATTCTTATACATATACTATCCGCTA